ACATTAACATTGTATCGCAACATCACCTTGCCCCCAAAAATATTTCCAACTCTTTAGGCAACCCCCCAGTCTTGAAAAGCTTACCTTAATTTTTTCTCTAGAAATATATTGTTTTTATTGAATTCAACCCTGGATGTGACATCTATTTCATGGTCTACCAACTGCCGATCATAAACGAATGCGTATACAAAATTTCGTGTCCCTGCTATTTACCGCTGAGGCGATCTCTCGTAAGGAGCCGATCCTGGCAGCAGCATCAGGTCACGTTTATGATGATTGTCATCAGTTCTGGGCCAGCATGCAGAATTTCAGGTCAATCGGAAACCGGAAAGTGGGTCAAATTGAACTTGCAAGATTTCTTAACATACATACAAGTCAAGTTAAATAAAAGCTTTTCATTGAAAATATATTAGCATTAATATTTTCAACGAATTCAAACTGATCATCAGTTGCTGACGTACCAACGCTAATGTAGCTATGGTTTATATTTTAGGTTGATGCAAGTGATTTAATTGTTTACAAACAATCTACCAAGAACTGAAAGCATTTTTTTTCAGCACCGTATTTGAACGCCTGCCATAAAGATGACCCGAACCTCAATGAATGTGGCTTGAGAGAAGCAAAGAATGGACTGCCTTACATTCTAAAAGGGGACCGACGTTATGGAATCCCCAATTTTCTTCCAATGAAGCTGGACATAATATCTGTAGATACCCCCGGAAACTTCAAGATCAGTCTCAAAAATGTTTCCATATACGGACTGGAGAAACTGGAAGTGACGGGAGTGAAGTAAGTTGTAATGATTTATATGTACAGGGNAGTATTAGTCCCACATATTTCCGCCTCGAAGTTTTAGAGGTACTGTCTAAGCCCTCTGTTTTGGTCCGCTTGGTGAATGGTTGATAACGTTAGGCCCATGGTAAGCTCTTCTTCATCAGTCTATTGAGTTGTAAAATTCAGACCTATTTAGAGTTATCTAACATTGGACGATCCTGGGAAATACACGGGACATTCGTTTTTTACCATTATGGCATCAGACCAAATCCCACGACAGGTAGGATGGAAATCGGCAGCTGTGGCGACAGAAGAACGTTCCGAATATTATTGACAGAGCTGTTGATGAACGTGCAACCTCATTGGCTTCCGAAGAGGGCATTGAGTGGGGCTTCTCTTTTTTTTTAGAAATATTTTGTTTTAGTCGATCAACTGACACTTGTCAGTTGATCGAATAATAAGTTGGAATTTAGACTCCGCGTTTTCAAAATTGATCTGAACCACGTACTTCAAATACCAATGAAAATACGTTCCATTTCAGGGCCAATCTGACTGAACACGTTGTCAATATGAATTTTTCAGTGCCAAGTTATACCCTTTTATCGAAGTATGAAATGGATGGGAGAATCCTGGTGCTTTCTTTAAAAGGAGAAGGGGAATCTAATATTACTGCAAGTAAGTAACAAACAATATGGACAAAAGGGTGTTCCATTTTCAGGCAAATTTTTCTCCCCTTCATCATCTGAAAATGTTTAAATATATAGAATAAGTTCCCTTGGGAAAAACCCAAGTGAATTAGATTTTCCATTCATTCGAAAATTGGATTTTCCTTTTGAATACTAGGTTGTTTCGAAAGTTTTGCCCGTTTTCATTAGTCTACTATTTCAGTGAATACTTATCCTATTTACTCAAAATAAGCGCCATCTGGATCAGGGTCTTCAAGCAACGTCCGTTTTGTCCGTTTTCATGAGTCTACTATATCAGTGAATATTCAATTTAGTCAAAATGAGGGCCATTTGGATGAGTACCTTTGAGCAACGTCCATTTTGTCCTTTTCATGAGTCTACTATATCAGTGAATATTCAAATTAGTCAAGATGAGCGCCATTTGGATCAGTACTTTTGAGCAACGTCCATTTTGTCCATTTTTATGAGTCTACTATATCAGTGAATATTCAATTCACTCAAAATGAGGGCCATTTGGATAAGTACCTTTGAGCAACGTCCATTTTGTCCTTTTCATGAGTCTACTATATCAGTGAATATTCAATTTAGTCAAAATGAGCGCCATTTGGATCAGTACTTTTAAGCAACGTCCATTTTGTCCATTTTCATGAGTCTACTATATCAGTGAATATTCAA